ATGCTCAGTGATTAAGATAGGGAACAAAATCAAGTGTTGGTCCAAACACAGAACTTTGCATGTGGGAGAAATGTTGATATTTCTAAACAGTTCTTTTATGCCAACATCAAATTTTAGGGTTTTGGGGAAGTATGTTAAAAATTTAATCTTACATTAGTATAAGCAGCTTTGATAGAGCCTTCCTAGATTTTAATTCCACTGAAGAAACAATACTACTTTAATTCTATGTAATATGGAATTTTTAAAATCTTTATTGTATAATGGAGACATTACAACAAAATGGGTAGATATTCTGAGAAAACATACCTATATGTGAGCATCTGTTTTGGAAATTATTGAAATCAAAATAAAGAAAATACTCCCAAAAACTTTTAGATGAGGTAAGGTGAAAATAATTTCAGTAATGCCATGAAATTAGTGTAAAATTATCAAAAATAATGTAAATTAAAAAGCAACTGGGTAAGAAATTCTTAAAGACAGTTCAGAATTGAACACTTCTCAGAATTGTTGTAATATTAGTTGAAATCAATGCTGTATTGTGAAAAGCAGTTTTAATAACTCCAAGTAAATGAAAACCAGAAATGTTAGAACACAACATATTTTAGTAGGAAGTTTGAGAATGCTTTTTTAATTACTATGTGCTCAACAGCATCTTATTTTTCAAAATGCTCAGCTATCTGGGGTGTCTTCCTCTTTTAGCACTGTAAATCACATTAAGAGCAAATCTTGTTACTTAATAAATTATTTGTAAATTCTGGTACATCTTCTAGCTTGGGAACAGGCTGTAGTGAGACTGGTCTCTAGGCTACTTTAATTATGTTTTCCATTCACATGATGGAAGTTCTCAGACATCAGGTGCCACCTGCTATGGTTTTTATTTCTACTTTTTTGAACTCTTACCCAGGGCAGTAAGGAGAACATTAGCTGTCATACTTGTAAGGTGTGGTGTCATAAAAGCTCTGCTATTGTATTGCACTTGGAAAGCCAGAACCAAGCTCCCAAAGCTGGTACTCGATTGTGCTTTGGTCAATAATGACAGCCACGAGCCTTTTTTCTTTTTTTTTTTTTTTCTGGAAAATCAACACAATTTTGGTTCCAAGACATTGGAAAATACTATTTTTGTTTTCAACACAATTCTCTCTGATTCTTGAGCTTTCTGTTCATTTTTCTTCCCTCCTCTCTTTTTGTTCTCCCACTTTTAATCACAAGATGAATTGAATACCTGAGGCAAAATAAACAGTAAGAGCCAAGCAATGATGCAAGATTTGTGTGTCTTATTAGGAACATTCTTCTTTGAGAGCTATGGTCACATTGTGTGAGGCATCTTCATTGCACAACTTATTTTCTGTGAGTACATATAGACCATTAGCCAGTCAGTGGTGTTTGATTAAGTCCATCCTAGTATGTGATCATCAATTAAAGACAGAGAAAGTAAAAAAGTGTTAGCTGAGGCTTAGGGCGAGAATTTCTCCTTTCATAACTGCTTAATATCTTAAATTTCTCTTTAGTTTTTGATTCAGTAAATCATGTCTTTCAGAGGCATCTAGTAATTCTCCAAGGTGTTGGTACTTAGTCCAGATCATCTGTGGAGGAATCTATTGGGTTACACTATGTTTGATTAGGATGTTAGCTACCATTCAGTTTGGATACTGTGATTTCCCACTGATGTTGAAATGAATTTCTGTTTATAAATTTGATATTACTGTCATGTTCTTTGGGAAGCTTCCAAATAGAAAGGTTGATTTATATACAACATAAACGATAATGCTTCCAATAGTAAGAGGGGTTTTAGCCAGCTATTTTAAACAGTGTATCATTATCTGAGCTATCACTATACTGTCTCTGAAATATTCACTTATCTGAATAATACTTTTAATTTAAGATTTTTAATACTCTTATATGTGTTTGAGAGATTTTTAGGAGGAAAGGCATAGAGAAGCTTTTCAAGTGAGTGCAATTTGAGACCCACTTATTTCCCATAACTTTCTTTTAGATATCAAAAATATAGGTTGTATGGAGCTGCCAAAGATCTCCTGTAATGAAATGTACAGTGTACACTGTATTATAAATCTATTGCTAAAACAGGTGTAAAAGTTTCATGAACCCCAGATCTGGAATTCACTTCAGAGTAGTGTTTGAAATATTCCATTTTGGAAGTTTGTTTAAACTCAAACAACTACACTCTGTACCAGAGTACTGGGGCATTCTTTTCTAATAGCTTATTACCAACCTCCTAGGGACTCACTGTCATGAAAGGCACTATATAAGCTTGGAGAGATTTTTTTTCTTGTCCCATGTGTAGTTTAGATATCATTTGCACTTACTGTGTACTGCTAGTTTACTTCAAAAGAATTTTGAACAAGGCCTGAGGAAAAGATTGAGCTGTGTGCTAAAAAGAGGCAAAAAATAAAATACTCCTTTGCTGTTCTGCTGCGATACATCTGTGCTCACTCTTAGTTTGAATTCAAAATTGATCCTTTTAGCCTGTACAGATAAGAACAAAGTCAGATCATATTTGTTTAAATATTTGGTGGTTTTTAATAAAATAATTTTTAAGTATTGCTGTACTTTAGTCTTTCGCAAGAGTCAATAAAAGAAAAACCTGTTCATTCACCTGAGAAGAGGAGAGCTTGTACAAACATGATTGCTTTTTGATAATATAGACTAGAATACAACTGCCTTTAAACACCTCGATAGAATAACTGTAAGATGAAAAGGGTGCTTCACAGTACTCCGCAGCTGACAAATTATTTTGTCAGCTATGGTGCTTAACCTTTTAAAGTCTGTTGCATGTTCTTTCAAGAAAAAGTAATGGCTAGGGTTCTAAGAGGTATCCAAAACTTTGGACTGCACAGTATTTGTGTGGTTTACATAAGACCTTTAAGAAGACCTTAATATCAAACATGTCCTCAAAAACTTCTGAAAAAATGGCTGCTTCAAATTGGCCACCAAATTATCGAAAGCATCAGATTTTGAAGTCTTGTCTTCTATTATAAGTCTACTAAAAGTTTGGGCTTTTTATTGCTTTACATTGTTGTAGAAATGTGGCTTTTCTTGAAAATAAAATACATGCCCTGTTGTTGGATATCAAATAGTTCTGTCACCAATATGAAGGATAACCACAGTGCTTTTGATTGTACTACTGGTCAAGGCTGCTAGAGCACTCAGACTGATGTTCACATGTTATACAGGTCCTAATGAAATGACATAGCTTCTGAGAAGTATAATAATCATTCTCATGTCATGCATTTGCCTTTCCTGTACCAGGCTTCAGATGTAAAGTTTTAAAGAGAAAATAACCTAGAGGTCTGAAGATTATACTTTCTAGGTTGATTGGTATTTCTAGGTTGATGTGTTTAGGATAATGTTCACAGGTTGTCCAATACTAGTGTTTGAATATAAGTTAATTTGTTTTGGAAATACCTCTTCTTAACTAACATGAAAAAGCAGATCCATCAAGAGGCCAGAGAGTTTACTGTTGTTTTTAAGAAAAAGACATAATAAATATGAAAACCTGATGTAATATAAGTTACGTTCTCCAACCGCACTCCCATAGTTTAAAAGTTAAACCCTAGACCTGTGCAAAGCAAAAGTGAATGAGACAAAATGCTCATTGTCTTAAATTGCACAAATTAACTCATTGTTCACTTCATTTTTGGTATTGTTTTCCTTTGAGTTGTTTAGTTATCTGATATTGCTGCATTATAGCAGGTAACTACATTTAGGAACTTCAGAAGTTCTGAGCAGTTTTCCCTCCTTCTGTAAGATCTACCAGTTGTTCATTTCTTTGCAACCGGGTCATTTATTTCAGTCGAGTATGAAGTGCGTAGATGTAAATGATATATACCTTCAAAGGAACCTCTGTGATTCAAGATCCTACAAAACCTCCTCTACACAATTTTCTGTTAATCATTGCAGCCTAGATGGTTAAATATAGCTATAGAAATCAAATATTAGGCACCTTGGTTTGAAAAGAATGTCATAAAAGTAAAAATATTTACATTTTCATATTAATATGTGTGAATGGAATCAGGTTTTGTTAATTTTTCTTCACTTTAAAAACAAAACAAAAATACACCAAACCCCCCAAATTATAAGATTTTCTTACTGGAAAAAATTGTCCAGCTTTTTACTCAGAATTTACTATAGGTTATGTATTTCAGATGATGGGAAAACATGTTGATTCTTTGAACATAAATTATGGTTTTAAAATATATGGAAGTACATTGTCCTAATAAATGATAACTTATATGAAAAAAGGAAATAAAGAACCTGAGGGCTTTATTTAGATCCAGTCTCTTATTGTAAATGATGCTGTCAATTTATTTATTTTTTATAACCTCCAGCAATAGAAGATTATTTTGATAAATGATTCATATCACTGCAATATATACCTTTCAAAATTTCCATATCTGGCAACTAATAGGCGCTTCTTGAAGGCTTCAATAGGCTCCTCAGCCAGATAACATGGCTAAAAGCTGCCTCATGGTTAATTTCATCTAAATGTGGTAATTATCATACTTTGAAGTTATGCCTGCAAAACATGCTTTCACAGAGAGTTAGGGGAAGCAGAGGATTAACCTAGAAACATTCAGTTCAGAGCAGCGTCTCGCCCAAGTAGAAATGTATTTTCCTCCAAATTTTTCAAGATTTTTTTATTAGACTACTTGGTAGTCATTTGCATTACCTTATCTCATATCAACTTCTTCATAGCAATTTAGGAAGCAACAGAAACTGAAACAACTTCATATTTTTAGCAGTAATGGGATAGTCTTGGGTTTACAGGCAACTTAATTTGGCAGTTTCTACCCTGAAGTATTTCCTGTGTTAGTATTTAAGAGCGCAGTTCATTTGTCCTTCATATATGCTGTGGACATAAGCATTATTCTACCTTTATTCCACACACTATAGATTATACACAGGATGTTAATTTCCTCATAGTAACCCGGGGGAGTAACTTCTACCACTGCTCTATGCACCCCTTTGCTTCTGTCTCACAGGATCTCCATGAACCTTAGTTGTAAGATCTCTTAGTTGTAAGAGTGAGACTAATGAAAAAGGTATGAGACTCCAAGTATGTTTCTAAAAATGGATGATTTTTGTATCCATTTAAAAGCCCTGAGGTAGCAAGAATTATAGAGAAGAAGCTATCACTGAGTATTTCTGCCCACCTATATCTCCTTAATAAAGATTCCAAATCTCTCAGCCATCAGAAAAAAGTCCTACAAAAATTGGCACAAAAATGCTACCTTAAGTGAAGAGAGACTGAACAGCCTAGTTAAGTCTTTCTGGTAGACTTCCTGACCATGCTGCATTTTGATATAGCTAAGTCATTTAAATTTTATTTAAATCAACCGGGGACAGATTTTGCCTAAATTTGCCTGGTCCATATGTAGGACTGGCTGAGTTTCTCCAGGTTCCAAAGGTGTTAGGTAGGAAGTCTTCTAAACTAGGTCTAAGTTGCATGATTGTAAGATCTTTAAGAAGAGAGTACCTTTCATTATATCTCTATACTTAGGCTCCTAGCTCATCTTCCCTTGCATTTATGCATCTTGACAATGTGCACATGGTGAGTAACTATAGCTCAGCCAGTACACACAAACCACGATAACTCAACCACATGTCAAATTTCAGGGATTACAATACAGAAATTAAACAAAACTGTTCATGCTCACACAGATTTTTTTGTATTTACACTTAGGGTTAAATTAGTGTAACTGTACCATGAAAGAAACGGAACTGAATTGAGGCACTGTATCATCAGATGCACTTTGCAGCAAATAAGCTGTTTCACCTCTAAAGTACACACTGTAGTTTTCTATCTATTTATATCCTTTCTATGTTTCATGCATATGTGGTTTTGGTTTGTTTTTTTTTTTTATCTTACAGATAAAAAAGAAGCTGCTGTGTCCAAAGAACTCAAAAGTAAGAAACTACTATCTCTTTTATATGCCATGCAGTTTCAAAGAGTACATTTCAATAATCCAAAAATAATAGTTATTGAATTGTTGAAAATGCAAAGAAAGCAGCTACACCATTTATAATTGAAAAATGATATGTTTAGATTTCATGTGTCTCTTATTTTCTAAATACATTCTTGTCTTACTTTTAATTCCACACTCTTTTTTGTGACTGACAGTTTTGCCTTCCCCTCTTCCTTATCACTGTCTTAAAAAACAAAAGTTTCCTAGGAAAGGAAATGTCAAATTGAAGTGTCAGCAAAATGTGCTCTCAGTGGCAGCAATTTTCATAAATGAGCTGAGAAGGCTGAGAGTTCAACATGCTGGGGACCACCAAATTTATCTTCACAAATGTACAAGGGCCCTGCCTATCTAGTTACTTCTGATTCCAACACAGAGACTTCTGAAGAGAGATGGGAGCTGGGCTCTTCTGAAAAAATAACCACAAAATGTTCCGAGAATGTGGTATCATTAACAGAGGAACACTTACGTCTTCCTTTTCTACAAATTTGCAAGCATCAATACCTCAACACAGTAAGGATAGTAAGACAGTTTCTCTGGTAAGACTTCATCTGCTCAGCTCTCTGTTCTGAAAGTATAGTATATAGGAAAAATATAGAAAAACTATGGGGCTTCAAAATCTCATTCAAATTCATGATTAAAGAATGCACTGACTTTCCATTTATGATCTTTCGTGACATGAATGGCAGATTAATCTCCTGACATCCTCGGTTTTGGAGCAATTTATTAAAAGATTTCTTTTGGCAATCAAGGAAAGCTTATACATTTGCTTCTTACTCAAATGTTGCAGGAATATTGAATAAAAATTTCAATAGACTTATTTTACAAGTAATGGTCTGTTAGTGAAATAACTTCCAGTTTGCAAGTGGGTCTTAAAGGATCTAATTATTTGGGCCCCCAAAGAGGACCTACAGGAGAGCTGGAGAGGGACTTTTCACAAAGGTATGCAGTGATGGGACAAGGGGTATTGACTTTAAACTGAAAGAGGGAAGGTTTTGATTAGATATTAGGAACAAACTCTCTACTGTGTATCTCCGTGTATCTCTATTGTATCCTGCTGTGAGGCACTGAAACAGGTTGCCCAGAGGGATTGTAGATGCCCCATCCCTAGAAATGTTCAAGGCCAGGCTGGATGGGGCTTGGAGCAATTTGGTCTAGTGGAAGGTGTCCCTGTCAGTGGCAAGGGAGTTGGAACTAGATGGACTTTAAGGAACACTAGATGTGCCTTCCATTTTATGACACTTTTCATGGCAGAATTCCACAGCAGCTGTCACAGCAAAAAGTCCCAGCTCCACCATGAAATTTGCAGCTGAAACTAGTTCATAAATATGTAGAGTCATTAGCACTTAAATAATTTGTGAATTACAAACTGAAAAGTGTATGCTTGCAAAAGAAAGATTAAAACATTGGTTAGTTTTGTTTCAATGCTACTGAAAATTTATTTAAAAATTAAATAAAGAAATTTCTGACAAAACATACCCTTAATTTTATTTTTTCTCAACTATAATTATTTCAGTTGCTCAGAAATTAAATATTTTAATGAAAAGAAAAATCTTTGTAGAATAAAAAGGGTCCTAACCTAGTTTCTTTTCATGGATGTTAAGAACAAAAAGTAAAAAAAAAGTCTCACTGTCCACCATGCTCTAGCTCAGAGCTCAGAAGGGACTTGCAAGAGTCCTGTAATTTTGTATTGAATCCAACTTGACACTTGTAGAACATGAAAGTTGGATCTCTTATTTCTGCCAGAACTGGCACTTAGGAAAGTAATACTAAGTACATTCTTCTTCAAGGTCTTCTACATATTTCCCTGAAGGAGGTGTGAGCACCCCAAGTAATTACAATGCTGTGATAATAACTAAGTTAGAATATAATTATCTGCTGTGGGGTTTTAAATGGATGTAAACAAAACAATACCACACATGCAAAGTATATTTTGTTTTCATTCTGTTTCGCAAGACAGTCTATGCATCTTTTATGAACTTCTCAAAAGACTGGAGGGAAGAACTCAAGATTACATTCCTGATTTAGCCATGTTTTTTTTCTTTGCAATAACACAATGGCAGATGTGAAGATTAACTAACATTTTTTTGACAATCTGTAATTCAGCTTGTGATTAAAATCATTAGTTATTTCCTCTCAAAATACTGAAATGTGATTTTTAATTTATAGGACCTTCTAGTTGATACACAAAATCCTTTATGACAGTTGGTGGAGTTTTCCTTATTGATATTCATTGAATTATTGTGGTTTAAGTACAGTCTGTTTTGTTAGTTCCTGAGAGCAAAAGCAATTAACTAAACACTAGTGAAGAGTAAATAAATCTAGTAAACTACTTAGATTCTTCTATCTAGGGCTGAGATTCCCCAAATCCGCTTGGGGAATGTACATACCCTTCATCACTTGGATCTTCATTCTGCAAGGACATGTTCTACCAGCAAAGAAAGTATAGTGCAAGTGCACTAAAATATACTGCAAGTGGACTTAAAAGACCAGGAACAGAATTACAGTTTAATGGCCTGTGAGGGCCTGTTTCTGTGCTAGGAGAATACCGTTGTTGCTCTTTCAAGTGCAGGATCAAACACGGAGATCTTCTCCTAATGCTCCTCCATTCCTCAGGATGGAGAGCCAAGTCTGTGGATGTACTTTGCAGAAGTAGCCCAATTTCACCTTTTCTAACCAGGGAGAGATTCAGATTAGGGGAAAGGATGGCACTGAATGGCTGTGAGATCCCCTGAAACACCACTGCTGAATTCACAGGAGTGAATCGTCAATACCTGATGTAGGCTAGTTCGGGACCTTCTGCTCTCATAGCTGCAAGATCAAATGCAGAGATGCCCAGCACATACATGCTCCCTGAGGGGCAAGGCCATGCTGGAACCCCTACATACCTCCTTTCCTCTGCTTTGCCAATAGATATTGAATTACTAGGCAGAAAAAGCTAAAATAAGTGATTCAGTGCCTAACAGCCAGAGCTTACTAGCCCTTCAGCTTGTAAGGTTATTTTATTGTTACCCTTGAGTTTATTGAAGACAACTCAGCTCCTCTCCCTTTGGGTAATCTCTTTGTTTAATTCTTCAGGGAAAAAATTGCTACAGGTTGTACCTCATTGGAGGCCTTTCCTCAGATTTCTATGGGTTTTTTATTATATAATACTTTGTAATAATTGGTTTAATTTGTTGTTTCTTTGTTTCTTTGTTTGTTGTTTTTTTTTTTAAGAGCCAGCAAAAGCTCCTGCAGCCAATCCAGCTATCAAAAAAGCAGCAGCACCAGGTAAAGGAGAAAAATGTTCTCATACAATGCATTTCTTATACTCTTGAACTAGTTTATTGCATCATAGCACCATCTGCTGGATTGCACAAAAGCCACTGTTTGGTTTTGGGTTTGGGGTTTTTTTAATCTGTTTCCTCTAAATTATTGTGATAATTTGTACATTAAATTTTTGCTAAGAACAAAAATATTTAGCACTGATTTATGACATTATATTTACTTTTTGTCTTCCCATGTCAACCGTAAGGTTGCAGGAATATTGAATAAAAGTTTCAATAGACTTATTTTACAGGTAATCGTCTGTTAGTGAAATAACTGCCTATTTGCAAGCACTTCTTAAAGGATCTATTAATTTGGGCCTCCAAAGGGGGGCCAACTATTGGGTCCTAACTATTAGGTCATTCTGTAGGTCTTGATATTAAAAAAAAAATAATCTGAATGTAAAGACTGATTTTAAAAGCAATATTTACAGAAATTACTTTCCTTGCGAAGCTATATTCCAGCCCTTTAAGAAGAAGATCTGATTTTTCAAAGTGCTGCTCTCGCAGTAGGTTTTCAAAATGCAGCTTTTTGATAATAATAATAAACATGCACTGAAAAGACAAGCAAACTTTTTTCAATAAAATAATGTCATAAATTCCTACCTGAATTTAGATTGGATTGTAAAAATCTACTACTTTTTTTTTATTTCTGATCTCATCTGCTTCAGAGCCATCTTCAAAAAAGCCACATCTCATTTCTGCTTAATTAAATAAAACCTAATATAATTAATAACAATCTGAATATTTATTATATTTGTAGTTTGACTACATTTTATATTGATTATCAAAAAAATGCTCAGGAAATCCCCATGTGAAAGTGTGGTCAGTATAAAACTATAATATTATCCTAGCCCAAAGCAGGGCAGCCAACACTGCACCAGGCTCTGTGCTATTGAGCTGTTTCTGGTGCTGGTATTGCAGGAGAGGCCAGCCCACACTTCTGCTGCTTCTTGCCTCCAGCTAATCCCACTGTACAGATTTGGGATCTTTTTATTTCCTTTTTTTTTCCTTTCTTTAAGATTATTTTCTGGCTCTCTTTGTAAAATTCAGAGCATGTCTGTAGTCTATCTCAGAGATCTGTTCTGATGAAAGAGAGAATAATGACTTGCACCAGTAGGGGTGATTGGGAGTTGGTCAGGGATCAGTGCAAACCAGGAGCACCTTCAGTTGCCTCTACCAACAAAGGACATGTAGTCTGGACTCACAGTTGATGCAGGCTATTGCTCAGCTGTAGGATATACTGTGTGAAGCTGGCCTAAGAAGCACCATTTCCCTGCCAATGCTCCCCATCCCTGCCTTCTGTGTTTGCCACCATGTTCACTTGTGCTAACACAACTGGGAAAACAGCGTAAATCACACCATTGCCATCCCTTACAGCTAAAAACTATCCCAGAAATGTGTGTGTGACAGGGCATTGAGTCTGGCTCCACACACATTTATATCCATGTAACTGATAATTTCTTAAAGCAGCTTTGTTCCCCCAGTTGTATAGCTAGACCCTTAGATGTTTGAACCATTATGTTAGAACCATATACTTATAATTAATTCATTCCACCTGCTTGCTTCCAATATTTGTGTTCATTTTTGAAAAATATTCCAATGAGTCTGCTTGTTGGCATGAATGGTGATGACAGTAATCTGCTTAAGACAAAGAAAGGGGGAAAACTGGCTTCTTATGGAAAAATAAAATAACTTTGTTCTGACACATTTCTAATTATTTAGTTTACCTTAAAAGCAATAAAGAGCAGTAGGCTCTGACTTCTACATTTTTGCTTCCCCTCTAGTTCTCTGAAAACTAATTTACCACCAGAATAACTCACCATAGCAAAATATTAAATATGCTTGTTTGGAAACATTGTAAGTAGACTGTTGCCTATTAGCACAGTAAATTAAATACATTATCCAATTTCATATTTCATTTTCTTCCTCATATCTTATTACATCACAATCTGTACCCAAGAATGCCTAAAGCTGAAGGTTTACTCCTCTTAACAGACTGAACAGACTGACAGCACAGCTGGTCATCTTACGGTGCACCTACATCACATATGTTCCTGATCATAATGTCACTGGTGAAGAAATCCCTGCCTAATTCAATATGCACTATTTTTATCTCCATATATTTATACAGAGAAAGCAACAGAAATGAATATGGAGTTTGGAAGTCTATGAGAACTTCCATATCTGGAAGGTGACAACCGCTCTAGGAAATCAGCCTTAATGAATTTCCATTACATGATTTTGAAAGTGGATACGTTCAAATATTTCCAGTTTTCTCTAACTGGAAAAAATTACCTCTTTGGCAACCATCAGAAACTGGGCTGGAGAGGCCAGTATTTGGCTGTAGAGCAGAATTGTTTCATAGGTGTATGCAAATGTTCTGAAGGAAGAAATCAGAGTTGAAGATATTTCATTACACCAGTCTTCTTCAGTTACTCTGTCACATGCTGTCCCCATCCCAAACCCTGCTGCCATTTTCTCTTCTTTCTCCACAGTGCCTTGTCTCCTGAATTTTGCCAGGCAGGACAGGTCTGAGCATGACCTACCCTTACAAGATATCTGTCTACCCTTTTTCCTTGAGGACAGGTGCACGTTTCTTTCACGGGTTTTCCTCAGGCACTCTGTGTGTGCTGGGCCCAGCAGGTTCTCTGAAGGGTTTCTCAGAGCCAGGGGTGTAGGTGGTGAGCAGCTGCCTCATCCTTTGTCAGGACGGGGAGGGAAAATCCTCTCCCTCTCATCCCTGTGGAGGCTCACCTGGAAAAAATTCCCACACCTCAACACTTATCATGCCTCACAGCTATAGCTAATTCTACTGGGTCAGTGGTCCAGCTGTCAGCGGTGGGGCACAGAGTCACCACACCTCATCTTGGTAAATTTTCTGGGTTTGTTTTGTCATGGTAAGGAAAGCAAGCACATGGCGGTGCAGGACAGGGCACAGGCTCAAACCATGCAGAGAGCATTTGCAGCTAAACTAGCAGGAGGGTGAGTGTGTTCCCCAGTAGGCAGCAAGGAGCCTTGGTGCCACTGAGCCTCAGGCACTCCCTTAACTGGGGTGAGGGTTGAGAACAGCTCATCTGTGACTCCATCTTACGGGATAACCTAATATCATAGGCAAGACTCATGCACCTTCTATAAGAACCAGTGATAGCTTTCCCCCTGATGATTTGCCTGATTTAAAAATCAGTTCTAACTCCTTTCAACATTGCAAAAATTAAATCCTAATTGCAGTTTAGAATTTCCCTGGAATGGTCTTGAAATTTTTAATTTAATTTTACAGTATGTTTAACAGATTTTGTACTGTCACTTAACTGCCTAATTACGGGGTTTTAATGCCTGATTTTCCCCATCTTCCTCTCCTCATACATGCAAAAAAAAAAAATCTTATTCTTTTCTCCCTTTGAGTTCATAACAAAAATCTCTTTTTGAGCACAATTTCTCCCTTGAAAATCAATGAAATTTAGTTTGGATCCAGAAAGAATAAAATAAATGTGACAGGCAATAGCTAAATTTGAGTGCTCAGATGTCAGCTGCATCCAATCTCTCAAACTGACTACCAGTTGTGCTAGAATTATTATTAATTTATCATGCCTTTGATCATTCCACTGTTGGTAAGAAGCAGAAAGAGAACATTATATAGAAAATTATACAGGAAATGCCTTCATGGTATAAGTACAGAATATTAGAATGCAGACTATAATGAAAAACCTCGTCAGAGGATGTGTTGAAGAGGTTCAGATCACCCTACCTAATGCAGGAAGAACCACTGGTTCTAGTGGTAATGGGCAGTATTTACTTAGCAGAGAAATTATTTTATTTCTTGGTTCAAGGTAAACAATGCAACTAAAATAGCAGCAGGAAAGCTATTTCCATAGTGTATAACCAGTGCTATTCTACATAAAAAGGAAGAAATAACAAAAGTTTATGGGACAGTAGATGTGCTTTGAAATGTTGAAGAGGTTTATTAAGGAACTGGATTGTCTTTTAATTGGTTGTCTTTTAATGATCACTTATAGGACAGAAGTACATAGGAAGAATGCTAAAACCATGAAAATGTTACAAAAAATTAATAAAATTCAGCATGTCTATTGAATAATTTATCAACACAGTGGAACGGGCAAAATTATAATGGATTGCTTTTCAGGTTTCTCAGACAGGTAACTCTCTCAAGTCACACATCTTGGGATTTATTTTACTCACAGCACCACACCCTCTGCATCATCCATCGACCTACCTATTCTCACCTTATGTGACTACACGTATCTTCTTGTGTAGTCAGTAAAAGAGGAGAGACTTCAAAAACCAGTATAATTTTATGTTACACACCCCCTGTAAGTACTTTTGGAAAGAGGAAAAGAGGATGAATAGTTTATTTCTCTGTCTCTCTCACAGTGTATGGACATGGCCCTAGTAGGTTTGCCATCCCACATTCTCCTTGGGCTCTTATGTTACATAGTGCCTCTATGTGCCCTGAAATTTCTCTCTATAAGCAGCCACTGCACCTGGTTAGAACATCTCTGCACATATTTCTGTCATGCAGGTGTTACAAAGAAAATTATTCTGGAAGCTGCAGTAGTCTGTTCAGTTTTCTGGTCCCTGAAGTTAACCCTCTCAGTCTTTTCATAACATAAGAACAGCCATTCTCAGGGTTTATATTCCAGGTTTACAATCTAACTCCTGAGGACCAAATATTAGAGGTAACTTATTGATGGCATAAGGACAGGCTTTGCAGTTTATTTCTTTATAAAATAAATACACTTAACAGGTGCTTATGCAGCAGTAAACAAAATAATGAAACCCTACCTGCATTAATCCTGCTGCTTGGGGTCCTTGGATTTAGGTCCAGGATCATTCTGTAGGTCTTTTGCATCATCAAGGCTTTTTTTTTTTTTTTTTCAGTCCATATTAACATAACTCTTCCTCTTTCCCACCTTAATTGTTTGGGAAGTTAAACATCATATCTTC